CCCCATGTTCGATTCCATTGGAAAATTGACTTGATGAAAATTGAAGAAGTCTGCAATCACTATTGTCGGATGACCTATTTTGCTTTTTCTCAACATGCATCATATACCGCTCACGAAGCATATTGCATAGTTTCATTAATGTTTTCCTAAAGTTTGCACTTCTATTTAGGGATGCCATTCTTCTTGCACAAGAATGAGGAGATGCTGGTAGGCCAGCAAGTGAAGTCCAATCTACACGGTGAAATTTGCCCCCATGGAAGCACGGTATCTTGCATATTGGGTTACCAATTCCCTGCACATAACAATTAATGCGAAACATGAGCCACAATATACTGTGAACATCTTCCTCTTCTGACAGTCACACTATATCTATCAATCAAATAAACCAGACAAACAACCACCAATGCATAAATAAAAAAATTCTCCCAATCATGTGGTCCTGGAATAGAAGAATATGATAGAATATATTACTACAAAAGTGCTCCTAAGTCCACTTCCTATTCAGTTTGTTTCTCATTTGCACACAGCCCAAAGAATTTATTACTACATTCTACCTGTCTGCTTTATCTGTCCATGAGATTCTTTTTCTACGTGTTGGCTTCATTTTTTAAGAGGAATTCTGGCTAATTAAGGAATAACACCCATCTTCTTCAAGTGACCCTGGTTTATTCACAGCTTTAACAAAATCAGCTTCCTGATATGCTTGGAAGACATCAGATCCCACTTAAGAAGCTAAAGAATAGTCTTCTTTTAATCTATCAAAGCCATCAGGTAGTGCAGCAACCTCCTTTTCATCCAATTGTATGGTTCTTGCATCATCATCTTTTATACTTTCTATTGATTTAACTGTTGAGTGTCTCTTTCTTTCCGATCAGATGACCGTTTTCTACTTTCTCGTTGATACTGCTCCTCGTTGCTATTTGGAACACCCTGAAATCTATTAAGACGCTTTGCTGCTTATCATAATATACACGAAGCACCTGTAAATAGAGAATAAGTTAGTGTAAAGCAAGCAAATGATTAAAACTGATTGCACATTAATGGTTACGCAAGATGGAAGGGAACATTGGGGGGGGGGGGGGGTTTGTATTACATGAAGTTAAGAAAATTTAATTTACCTGTTGTATGGTCAGATTAAGATCCTTTTCAATCTTTTCACAATCTCTATATGAAAGCTTTTCATATAAGTTATCCTTCAGAATTCTCTTTAGGAGTTCAGCTCACTGATCAGCTGCCATAACTCGATTTGAGGCCCATGATCGGTTAAGGAAAACCTGAAATAACCACTCTCTGAGTCTGCTTTTACATTTCTCGTAGCATAGCAGGCTATTACAATGGATATATGCAAGCAACACCAAATGTATAACTTACAAAAACACAAAAAGTTGTCAAACCTAATGTTTATAGCCTATACGAGAATTTAATTACGCTTATAAATAGGTAATTCTTAATTATCCACAAGAAGTACTGCACACACTAATACCTGAAGAGACAGCTGAACGTAGCATCACACTGACTCTCATTGTAAATTTTTAAAATGAGTTGAAGTCTAATCAAATTCGGCAAGGACAGTATCTCCTAATTTTACAATCTATTCTTCCAAAAAAAAATCTAAATAACCATTTTTATTTTTTCAAATATTAACATATGTGCCATGAATTTTTAGTCTACACGTTATTGTCTAGTGCATACCTCGTGAACAGCAGATCCAGGGAATGCATGTAAAGCAGCTCCTGGATCAGTAGCTGCATAGCAATATTCCAAGGTTTTCCAATAGTCATCAACAGATTCTCTACTAGACAAGATGAAATTATAGGAAGAAGATCAAGAGTATTAGAAGTTGATGTGGCAGCCCATGATAGTGGTTCCTCTATGTAAGGTTTGAGCTCCATAGCATGGGTCAAATTGGCAGGTGGTACCTTTAATCTGTTATCTGAACATTCATCAGGTACCAGCCGAATCAACTACATCATCAAATAATGTCAGTCAAAGAAACAGTAATATACGATACAGCAGCATAGAGAGAAATTAATAAAAAAAAAGAATCTATAATGAACTAACTATTCTAATTTAAAATATATTACCAATTTAAACATATGCTCCCCTAGAAACTTTCTTTAATTTGTTATATGAATATATCAGGAGCTGCATGCTCCAACTGTATTTCACATTCCACCAATATATCATTGGAACATATTCTATCTCCCATATTTTCCAGCAATTAAAACAAAATACGCTGCAAATTATCAAGTGAATTAAATTCATGTAAGACTGCTCAGAATTGAATGTCAGCATAATCCATTATATTTGAACAGCTTCAAATTTGAACTCTGCTAATGGCTATCAAACTTTGATATCATTATATTCCTAATAACCTATTTTCATACTAACAACTACCATTGAAGAAGACATGAAAAATGGGAATTCTTCAAACAGATATTTCAACCAATATAACATTAAACTACTTACAATAATAACTACAAAAAAGGCATTCTTCCGAGTAGCTACCACTTATTTTACATTCAAGGCAAGAAATTATTTGAGCCTTGATTATCTATAAACCAAATGTTAAAAATTTACATTCTAGGATCAATAACTTAGAGCAGCCATCATTGTCTTACAACAAGCCACTAATATGTCGATCACATAATGGGGTAGAATACAACCCAGATTATTCATAGTTAAAAAACAACTAAATGATTTCAAAAGAGAATGCCAGGTGAACACATCATTAATGACACAAAAGTTCCCAGAGGAATGAAATACTCCTACATGATTAACCTACAGCAAATTTTGCTAAGTAATTGTACCTTCAAGTGTCATAGGATGTCAATGAGCAAAGAAAGTCTTCCAGATGCCTGAGTATCCATTAGAAGCTTATACTATTCAATGTGGAGATCGGAAAGACAACCGCCTTTCTTCTTGATCATATCATCAAACTTTAGAGTAGTTCCCACAACTTGTAAGAAAAGTTAAAGTGGAATAGCTTTGATGGCTGCTTCCAGTGAAAATAAAATGCATGAACCATGAAGATTTTTTTATCATGAAGGCGATTCTCAAGTGATAAATCATAATCCCAACCATGAAAACTACTCAAGAAACCTCATAAAAACTGATGTAGTAATTTTGAGCGTACCAATTTTGCCAGCACAAAACCATTGGCACGCATGGTTTCTGATTTAGCAGCTTTAGCATCTGAATCAACACGGCCATGAGTTCGCTGGACATCATCCAATACAGAATAGAATCATTGTTCTTCAACTTCGATGTTACATGGCCACGGATTTGCATTTCAAATGATCTCAATCTGTCATGAATTTCACTCAGCATTTCAAGATGTAAAGTTTCAACAGATGGGTGCAGAACCACCTGAGTAATACGGCTTCGTCCACAATTCGTTACAACAGGCACATAAATGTGCATGCACATCGGTCTTCTATTTTGGTCTTGTTGTCATTTTTACGTGGACCAATTGCTGACAAGCTACAACATCTTTTTACCAGAGATTTAGCGCTTTTCATGTTTGACGTAGATCAGTTCGCCTCATATCCTGACGATCCAAAAAAAATCACATTTAGTTTTCAGTGTTGAAAATTTCAGAATCCATTGATCATGTTTGTAGCAAATCATAGCTCCTAACACTCGGCTCTTCGGCTATATCCTGATTTCTTTTTAGGGTAAACTAATTATTTAGTCATCTATCTATTACTTAATTTTTGTATTGATAATGTAATTTTTTTAATGTTTAATATAAAATAAGTGCTCAAATTATATCGATTTTTTCATTTGGGCATCTAAACTATTTTTTTGATTAATTCAAATGTCTAAAATTATAAATATTACTATTTTAAGTGTTTCGACCGTAATGACAATTAAAAAATCTCGTTACATGATATATGTTGTATTATGATAATTTTAAAAATTTTATTTAAGAAAAATTTAAAAATAAATTATTATATTTTAAAAAAATTCCTCATCCCGCCCCCCTCCCTCTCCCTCTCCCTCTCCCTCTCATTTTCACCGTTTCTCTTGTCCCCTTTCCTTAATATTAGCATTTGGTGACAGCGAATGATTTCAAAGGCTAGTGATGGTGGTTGTATCGTCGGGTGACTGTGTCATCGGTGAAGATTTGGTTGTTGACATGGATATAAGGATTTGAATAAGGTTTTCAGAGTTTAGAGATTTTTTAAGATTTTTAAAAAGTTTAGATTTTTTAAAAGAAATTATATTTTTAAGTGTTTTATTCTAAATAAAAATATTCTAAATTACCATAATATGATATGTATCACTTAATAAAAAAAATTAACGTCGTTACGATTGGGGCACTTAAAATGATAACATTTATAACGTTTGACATTTAGATTGACCGAAAAATAATTTAGACACCTAAATAAAAAAACGATACAGTTTGAGCTTTTATTTTTATATTAAACTTTTTTATCAAATATATCTTATGTTACTTTTGATTCTATTTTAATTATCCGTCGTTAAAAAATGATAATATTAATATATTATTATAAGGTAATGTGATATCAATATTGAAATATAATAAAAATATCACAGTTAAATTTTATTGATCAATAATCTAAATAACATAATATTATGTATAATTTTAAAAAATAATAGTTTAATAATCCAATTAAATAATTAAATAATAGATGAGTGATGAAATATGGATAGTTTACCCTTTTCTTTTTATTTTGTCACCATAATGATATATTTGTGTGATGGTCACCTCTGCAAAAACTGAGAAGGAAATGAAAGAGAGGCACTAAACCCAATGCAACCATTAGCGAAACAGATGCAGATAACAGAGCTGAGAATCAGAATATAAGACGAGATAGAGCTTTGTTTATGAGAAATAAAATTTCTTCTTTGTTTTTCGAATTTCGAGTCCCAAAGCCACAGCGAAAGAGAAAACAACAACATATACTCTCGCAAGTCACAGAGAGACAAAAGATAAACACACCTTTGAATCCATAAAAGAAAATTATCATCACCATCATGAGTAATTGGCTGGGGTTTTCTCTTTCTCCAGACCTTAGAATCGATGAAAGCTTTGGCAGAGATGACCATGGAGGTTTCCCTTCTGCTATGCCTTTGCGTTCTGATGGTTCTCTCTGTGTTGTTGATCCTTTTCGTCGTTCTTCTGGTGCCGCCATTGAAGGTTCTTTTTTCCTTCTTTCTTTCGCTCTAGTATGTATGTTGCTCTAACTTTGCACCATGCATGATTCTTTTAGTATCGAAAGCTTCTGAAAAACAATAATAGGTTCACTTTTTTACTTGTTTTCCAACGCTGGATTTGCAGATTGGAGATATGAAAATGGTGTTGCAGGTGCAAGTGCAAGTGAGCAGGGTCCCAAACTTGAAGATTTCTTGGGTTGTTGTTACTCAAACTCTCCATCTCAGGAGAACGAAGACCAAAGCCAAAACACTGTTCTTGGTTCTACGAGAATCAATGTTAATGCAACACCAAATTACAGCAGTAATTTGATCCGAGCTTACCATGATGATTACAACGAAAACCCTCAAACCCTAATGGCTAGTGGTCACCACAGCCTGCAACAGTGTGACCCAAACCTTAACCACAACAAAAAAAACGGCATGTACCATGTCCCGTTTGATAGTGCAACTTCAGTTTCAGGATTCAAGTCGTGGTTGAGACAAACTCCATTTTCTGGTGGGAAAGTTTCAATTGATGAACAAATATTCAGACACTCTCCCTTACTATGAGCCCAAGCTCTCGAAATGGGCTGCCTGCAATTGCACCGTTGGATGTCGTTGATAACCGGAAACGACATGTCGGAAAAACCCTCACTAGAGAATCAATTCCTCGTAAATCTATTGATACTTTTGGTCAAAGAACTTCTCAATATAGAGGTGTTACAAGGTAACTTTTACCTGTCCATTTTCATTGTTACCGAGAATTTACTTCCTTTGTAAAATCCATGTTTTTGAAAACTCAACAGGCATAGATGGACCGGAAGATATGAAGCTCATTTGTGGGATAATAGCTCTAGAAAAGAGGGACAAACAAGGAAAGGGAGGCAAGGTGAGTGCTGCTGCAACAATCAGTATTGATTTCTGATTTATTTATTTATTCGATTTCCTGGAAAGAAAGATTTGATTAATGCTTAAGTTTCATTCACTTTCCGGTTTTCATCCTTCGAATTCTGCAGTTTATCTCGGTAAGTGAACTCTTATATTCTTTTGCATGTCTCTTCTGCACTTTTTAAGTGTTTAACCATAAGAACAGAGATCTTTGTCTTTGGTTCTGTTCTTTGAATCCATAATTCTTTGTCTAAAATGTGTATGATGATCAGGTGGTTATGACAAGGAAGAAAAAGCAGCAAGGGCTTATGACTTAGCTGCTCTCAAGTATTGGGGTCCAACAACTCATATAAATTTCCCTGTAAGTTCCTTCTTTGTAGGGTTTCAACACTTTATTTCATGATTTCATGAGTAACTGCCAAACCAGAATCATATAAGAAAGTAATCTTTAATACTTTGATTTTAGTTGGGTACTTACGAAAAGGAGCTGGAAGAGATGAAGAACATGACCCGTCAAGAATTTGTTGCTCATTTGAGAAGGTACCCCTAGTCCTAGTGCATTTAAAATTTTAAATAAAAAAGGACAGACAAAGGAAGCTGTAACATTGAATAACATCTTGCTTTTTGACAGGAAAAGCAGTGGTTTTTCAAGGGGAGCTTCAGTGTACAGAGGTGTAACAAGGTAAAAGCAGAAAATGATCTCATTGATAAAGTTTTGCCACAATTTTTACAGCCTTTTTTCATTTATATAATACACAATAATAGGCAAACATTACTATTTACATGCAGATAAAATCCCAAATTCTGAAATGTGTGTTCTTGCATGGTACATTATTTAAAAGGGGATCCAACTTTATATCTATTACTCTTTCCTCTTTCATGTCAAGCACTTTTATGTAGGCACCATCAGCATGGAAGGTGGCAAGCTAGAATTGGAAGGGTTGCCGGAAACAAGGACTTGTACCTCGGAACATTTAGTAAGCTTAACCTCTTTTTCTGCTCTGTCTCGATTAATTGACATTGATCATCAGCATGCTTCGATGATGATTTAATCTAGTTAAGCTATCAATTTGCAACGTCGTAATTGTGATTCATATGCAGCAATAATCATCTGTGTTGCACATTGTAGGCACACAAGAAGAAGCGGCCGAAGCTTATGATATTGCTGCGATCAAGTTTAGGGGAACAAGTGCTGTGACCAATTTCGACATAAGCCGGTATGACGTGAAGAGATTTGCTCAAGCTCTACTCTTATCGGGGGCGACCTTGCAAAACGCTCACCGAAAGACTGTACCCCCATTGCTCCTGAGGATTATAATTCATGCTTCTTTGTCATGTCCGCAACCTCTCCTGCGTACACCAAGCAGAGAAGCATCCGGTGAATTGGCTGATATGGTTTGGAGCGCGAATTCAGAATTGCAGCATCTTCAAAGTACTAACGCAAACAATGATGCATCCTTGGCAACTTCAAGTAGCCGTAATTCCCCCAACGCTCGGAGCCCAAAAGGCCCCACTGGATTAGCTAGTGATCAGTTCGGACTTGGTGAGGGCTACATCTCAGTACAGGGTTCAAAGTATGAAGATGGCAATATAGGTTTAGTTCATAAGACCCCAATGTTTGCACTTTGGAACGAGTGAGACACAGTTAATTGCACAAGAATTTGGGGTACTTATAGACAAGTGGTTTAGTTAAATGGTCTTTAGTATTTTAGTTTCCGCATGAAATTAACTGTTTTCTACCATTATAAAAATGTCCAATGTAGAGAGGAGGCTTATGGTTTGTTATTTTTCTGTGGGACTCTATTTATCTATTGGTTTATATCACATATAAGTTCCTCAGGAATATCATTTTTTTCATTTAAATACCTATTGTATTCTTTTTATTCAAAATAAGTAACTAAAATATATTGTTTTTTCGTATGTCTTATTTATTTGACTTGTACCAAATGGCAGATGTCCTTGATACATTGAAGTCAAAGTTGGGTTTAAAGACCCTAGCAAGGCATCTGATAAAGATGAAAGCGATGGAACATTGAGGTTGAAAGGCAAGGTCATGTAATTGCAGAGCTAGAGACACTACCTGAAGATGTACCAAATGTTAATCGGTTTAATTGTTCTAATTTTAATTAAATAGTGGCCTTGTTGGCATGTAAAAGACGAAATTAAACTACCAAGTACCAATTCCATTCACAAACAAAAAGGTAAATTTGTAGGAATATTACCACTTGCCTAATTATTTAAGAAAATGGAACCTAAAATATTTATTTATAAAAAAAATTATTGCTCCCTTTTGGCCACCTGAAACCTCCCTTAAGAGCATCATTTTCACTGGCATAATCCTTGACCACTCCCATCAACTGATGAGCCAACGCCTCCCTGGTCCGATTCCTTCCACGAGACGGTGTCGCGGGGAGAGAGTAACTTTGTCGGAGTCAGACGACAGTTGAACTGACCTCTGTTATCTCGAGAAGTAGATCATTTTTCTTCAACTGCTTTACGGCTACCAATATTAATAGATGAAGCCTCTATAGCACTCTGCAGAGGACGTACCATTTCAAATTCCTCGAAACCAAAACAAAACCCTTTCTGGGCTTCTGGCTTTGAACTTGAATACCACCACTCTTACTAGGTCCAAACTTCTTAAATTCATTCCCCGGCATGCTTGGTGTAGCTGTAGCATTCAAAGGTAGACCTTTGATGTAGATAGAGAGACCTTCTTGATTGTTGCTGGAAATTTGTGAATGAGATGCTGTTGCAGGAGCAGCCATTGCTGCAGTTGCTCATGAGATTTTGCTGAAGACTTCACAGGGGAATTTGTAGGGATTGATACATGGATTGCATTCTCGTTCTTAACCCTCAGAATAGATGCATATGATTTCTTTGGCGCTTCTTCTATTTTGGAGCTAGAATCAGCGACCATCTGTGAATCGTCAATAACCTCATCAACAATCTCGGTCACTGGCGCTTTCTCTTCTTCGTTAGAACCATCACAAATCGATGAACCAAATCTGGAGATTGATGTAAGATAAGGTAGTTTTGATGGATAAATGCTTTCCTAACAACATCGGGAGCAAGAGATGTAATTCCGGCAGCGACTTGCCGTGTAAAAGGCCCGATTTAAATGTTTTATTTTTAATCATTAAAATATTATTTATTTTATTTTTTTAACAGATTTTCAGATTACAAAAAATTGAAATTAAGTTGTGACATGCCTTACTAAGATTCGTTACTGAATTTTTTCTAACATAATTAACGGATTGGGACATTTGAAGTACCAATTTAATATTTAGAGTGGTTAAAATGTTTTTGAATAATATTTTAGATAATAACCCGATATAAATTATATAGTTTAGGAGGTAATGGTTTATGTAAGCCAAATAATCAAGGAAATTATATTAGTTCTGTAAATTTGTCCAAACAAAATAATTCTACATTATATAAACTATTAGTTTTGATTTGTTTTAATGTTTAAACTTTTAATTTTTTAAAATTATGTCTAATATTTAATTTTTTTTATTTCATTTTAGTACCTACTATTGAAAATATAACACGCATATTATTTAAACTACCAGTTTTAGTCCGTTTTATTAGCTAAACTTTCAAAAAAAAAATCTAAACTTAATGTTAAGTTTTTAATGGGTATTAAAATAAAACAAAAACTAAACGATATATATGATTTTAAAAAAAATAAAAGTTTAGGTATTAAAACAAATAAAAACTAATAATTAAGATACTAAATGTGTAGTTTACTCAACAATAGAACTGTTAATACACTTTAAGTAATCTTTTGGATTAGTCTCGTCTTTATTCTAAATATGGTTTTGGATTTGAGAAAAACTATTGTTGTATCATTAATTGGGTAAACTCAGTATTTAGTCACTTATTTTTAATAATAGATTGATCAAAATAAAATTAAAATAAAGTTATAGTTTATCCTTTATTAATCATAGAAGTGATAAGTTTATAATTGTTTTTAGAGACACGTTTGCGAATCTAAGAGAGATCCAAAACTTCCTCGGTTGTAACCTCTAGCTGAGTAAAGGAATGTATAATAATATCTGTATGATTTTATAATGGTATCAATTTATAAAATTTTAAAAAATATAAATTTATAAAATTTTAAAAATAAAAAATATAAAAATATCTAAAAACACATAATATCTTAACATTTTCAAGAAATAATTGTTCCCTTCTATTCTTTTCGGTTCATCATGGGATGTGCCTTAATTTGCGTGTCTCTGCCTTTGTTTTTCTTCAATTCTTTATTAGAATAAAAAATTTAGCGTTGTTCATTGCTAATCCCACGCTCCTTGCATTCCACGTGAATTGCACCTCCCACCAGCCAACAAAATTATCTACTTATCTTGTACGTACTCCTGCCACGTGGGTGTGAAATGGAACATTGGGATTTGGGATTCACCATTGTTTGATTTTTGGGAGAATCTGCCTTGCGCTTTTTTTAAGAAACACTTTCTAAATGTTGCAACCTTTACAATCTGTTACTGTTAAAAATTTTAAGAATATAATATGATTTATTCATATATCACTATGTATTTTGATTCGTATTTTTTCCATCACATGATGCTCCAATACTAAAAGCTCTATCGATTAAAATATAAGTGTAGCATCAACAATTTTTCTTTTTAGGCTTACATTTTTTCAGTGTCTAAAACATTTTGTACCGTTGGATATAAAGATTTTGTAAGTTGTTTTAAAAATTGTTATATATATATATATATAAACAAATGTTAATGTGATGGTTGACGCCCTAAATCAGAAATCAGTGTTAGATCTTCAGCAATGTTTGCAAACTTGAGTATCATGAATGGCGGTGGGATTTTATCAGAGTTGCGTCTTGAGCCTACCCTGATTTTTGAGGAAAACGAGGGTTAGAGGTTAGATGTCGGCTTTGGTATTCGTTTTGATTGGATTAGGCAAGGAGGAGATTATAGTTCAAATTGCAAGATGGTGAAATCTTACTTCAAGGATCACTTATGTGTTCCTTTTGATGCCAAGTTAAGGGATAGAATCCTTTAAGAAGCTCATCGTAGTTCTCTTGTAATGCATCTATAGACTAATAAAATGTACCAAAAGCTTATTGTCTGTATTGGTAGACAAGTATGAAAAAAAAATGTATCCGAGTTTGTGTCAAAGTCCTTAGCTTCTTGGAAAGCTAAGGCTGACACCTTTTCAGGTTTACTCCAGTCAATCCATATTACACAATGAAAATTAGATCGTGTGACTATAGATTTTATGACAGGATTGTCAATAACTCGATGTAAGCATGATATTGTTCGAGTGATTATTGATTGATTAAGTTCGTTCATTTCTTGTTAATGTGTATGGGTTTCATCATAGAGACATTGACTCGATTGTACATCGAGAAGATTTTGAGGCTTCATGGTGTGTCGACGTTGATTGTATCCTATAGAAATCCTCCATTAACATCAAAGTTTTAGGGTGAGCTTCATGAGACTTTAGGTACTCAATTGCATTTCAATACCACTTTTCATTTCCAGATTGATGGCCAGATCGGGAGAGTTATTCATATTTTGAAAAAATATGCTCTGATGTTGTATCATTGATTTTGAGTGAAGTTTGGAGGATAATCTTTCACTTGTAAATTTTTCTTACAACAATAGTTGTCAATTGAGCATTTAAATGTCTCCTTTTGAGTTGTTGTATGGACACAAGTATAAGACTCATTTGTGTTCGTATAATCTTAGCGAGGGTAATCTTGTTGGGCCTAATTTGATCAGAGAAATCAATGAAACAGTTCGATTGATTTAGGATAGAGTTAATGAAGCTTTTGACAATCAAAAGTCTAAAGTGGATTTGAAGTGTAAGGATATTGATTTCTTCGTGGGAGATAAAGTCTTTTCTAAAAGTATCATCTTGAAAGAAGGTGTTGCATTTTAGACATAAAGAAAATTAAATTCGAGGTTTATTGGACCGTATAAGGTCTTATAAGGGTTGAACCATAATTTATCGATTGCTGCTACCACTGGAGATGAAGTGCATCTGTAATATCTTTTATGTTTCGATGTTGATGATGTATCACAGTTCAGCAGCACATAACTGCTCTTAACAAGCTAACTGCTCGTTTAACAAACTAACTACCATTTAGTAGCTTATGCTAACAGCTTATGCCAGCAAGGCAAGTCATGCAACACACGCTTCTTAATTTTGCTAATATTCTCCCTGCTTCTTCCTTCCTTTAGAGTAGACAAACGCATATTCTTGAACGAAATTCTTCAAATGCAGTCCTGGCCAATGGCTTGGTGAATCCATCCGCAATTTGATACATGGTTGGAACATAACTGACATTCAACTGTCCTGCATCAACTTTCTCACGCACAAAGTGGACATCTAAATCAACGTGTTTGGACTGGGCGTGATATACTGGATTCGCACTCATGGCCACCGCACTGGTGTTGTCACACCAGACAACAGGTTTAAGGCTCTGTGGAATACCTAAATCTGTCAAGAGAGCTTGAATCCATGTGATGTCTGCTGTCGTATCTGCCACGCTCTTGTATTCGGCCTCCATTGTGGATCGAGAGACTTTTCGTTGCTTTTTTGAGCACCAAGAGACAAGGCACTTGCCAAGGAAGATTCCATAACCTGTGATGGATCGT